ATATATATCCCATATCGATAAATGATGTTGACACAGACCAATTACTAAAGATCTTGGACTACCCCTCTTAATAAGGTTGACATTTTAAGATGGAACCCCAAATCTTAACATGGTATCAGAGTCCATTATGCTCCAACGAACGATTCGATCCCGTCAAGACTCTAAAAATGAGCACGTAGATTTCAAGATTGGTCTGCTCAAATGAGCCACCATCTTGCGGGGGAGTGTTAAGGGATATATATCTCACATCGATAAATGATGTTGACACAGACTAATTAATAAAGATTTTGAACTACTCCTCTTAATAAGGTTGACCTTTTAAGATGAAACCCCAAATCTTAACAGAACCTAATCAAATTCATCTATCTTCACCTTTCCTAAACAAAAAATACTGTATTTTCTTTCATTTTTTAAAACTATAAATACCCAATTTCACTACCTAACAATAAAAAAAAATTTACGTAAGAATGTTACAAAAGATGAAAATGGGATTCCATAGAAAATCAATTGATGAACCCTAACAATTGTTGCCTATAAATGCGTGTGTTCATGCACTACTTCAAATGGTACCATAAATCAATGAGCAAGGAGATATCATGGTTCAGACCACAACGGTTCACTTAAAAAGGAATTCTTCACTCTGCCACAGAATCTTGGACCTTTCGAAATTTTCTATGTATTAGAAGATCTCTTAAAATTTGTGACGTTGAGATATGAATTTCTATTATGTTATTTGAAAATTTTAAAGTGTAATATACTTGAAATTTGTTTGCTTATATTATATTTAAACTTCAAATAAAATAATAAATTAATATTAAAAATTAATTGTGCGTTTAAAAATAATAAATTAATATTTAAAAATCAAATAAATTAACAAATTAATATTATTGAGAAGGGACCATATCGTTTTTCTTAAAAAAATACAAGATATCAATCAATAATAATACTCATGTACGTACTCCATAATTGACATTCTAGCAATCAATATGTGTAAAATAATTGTGCGTTTCTCATAGATAAATAAAGATATTAATAGATTTGGTAAAGGCATAAAAGACCAAACAATATATGTATATATATAGAATTGTCGCCCTATGTGGCATAGTGGGATGGTTGTAGGGGTGGCAACGAGCCGAAATTTGAAGCTCGAGCTCGATTCGAGCAAAATGGGTTTGGGCATTTTTTGGCCTGAATGGAGCCGAGCCAAGCAAAAGCTCTGGAAAAAAATTAAGGCTCGGCCCGGATTTTTGCTTGAGCTTCAAAAGGCCGGTCCGAGCTTTTGCTCGGGCCTCAACGGCCCGGTGGTTTTCTTTATTTTTTTTATATATAACACGTGCTGCCTTTGAATAGTAGCTGTCACTTTCTCTCATTCCATTCCATTTCATTTTTTATTTTTTATTTTTTGGAATTTTTACACACGGCCATTCGGGGGTCGGCTGGGCTGGGCTTGAGCTTCGGCTCGGTCTACCAAGCCTCGAGCAGGACCGGCTCAGGCTTTTCCCAGACAAAGCCACGAGCGTCCCGAGCCGGCGAGCCAAATTGACAACCCTAAATGGTTAATGATTTAATGCACGAGAAAAGAAAAACTATCATATTAATATATCAAATTACTAGCCGCCATATATATGTCACGTAAGACGAATGCGATAGCGAACGACTGCAAATAACATTACTATATATATACCGTGCACACTTTTATGCATGATTACCGCTGATAATCAAACCATAAGCACTGAGAAAGTAATAAAAATTACTATAGTTAATAATGGTCAAAAGTTACTAGGTAAGTGAGAGGCAACTTCGTAGATGTCGAGACCATCACGTCTTCTCCCTTAAATTTTAATTTCAAAGTGACTAATTTACATTCAACTAAAATTCTTTGAATACCATTTGCAATAGAAATGTTTTCATCAATATTTTTTTTATTTCAATTCGTTATTGAAAATTTAATTATACGTGGTTCATTCTACTTTAGTTATTAATGAACATTGTATTGATTTTTTATAAAGAACGATGAAATAAATCTCTCGATATCAAAAAATTCTATACCACTCTCATAGATTATTTTCACGTGTTATATATGGAAAATTGAACAAAATTCTTAATAGCTTATATTTTGACATTTCAAGAATATTGTAGCAATGGAAAACTTGTTGAATAATAAATGCAACAGAAGTACTTGTGGAATAATGAAAGCTACACGGAAAGTGAGAGGCAATTTCAAATGTCGTCTTCAACATAGACTTCCAAACAAAGTGTAGCAAAAGTAAAAAATATAGAAAGTGGCAACCACGACAAAATTAGGTCGATCAAGACTCCCAAAAAAGCAAAAGAAGAGCCACTAATTAGGTCCCACCCCACCATAGATAGGCGGATCAAAAAGCTTAGGGACATTGCTAGTCTACATGCTCATCCAAAGTTCGTAGGGGTCCATCGATATGTGATCACATACATTTATCATGAGTATTGTTCCCACAATTCTTAAATTTGGATATGTAACGATTTTTATTTTTTATTTTTTTGCAATATATAATTCAATTTTCTATCCACTTGAGTGAATCAACAAAAAATAGACGATTGTTCATAAATTTGAGTTCTTACAATTTCATACACGCGTTCTGTGTCCCTATATTACTCGTATTATCTTCTTTCTTGTACCATATCCTTAACTTTAAGCCCTATAAATACCCCTACCAAGAATCCTTTATATTCATAGTGAGAGATTCACATACTCAAAAGATAAAACATATCTAGAGAGGGGGAGAGAGAAAGGCAGATAAGAAGAGAGATGGCAACTTTCCCAGTGATCAACATGGAGAAACTCAATGGAGAAGAAAGGGCAGCAACAATGGAAATGATAAACGATGCTTGTGAGAATTGGGGATTCTTCGAGGTAACTTTGTAGGCTTTGTCTAGTCTTTGTTCAATCTCTTGCCTGATATACCGAAAAGGAATAATTTTCGTATCCCAACAAATTAACTGATTATTAAGTATAATTACTTTTGTATTTTGTCTGTTGTGTTCTTAATTGTAATTAGTTGGTGAATCATGGACTATCTCATGAGCTCATGGACACTGTGGAGAGAATGACAAAAGAACATTACAAGAAATGTATGGAACAAAGATTTAAGGAAATGGTTGATAGCAAAGGACTTGAAGCTGTTCAAAATGAAGTCAATGATTTAGACTGGGAAAGCACTTTCTTCTTGCGCCATCTTCCCGTTTCAAATATCTCGGAAGTCCCTGATCTCGAAGAGGAATACAGGTAACTGTCAGTGCTCGGACAAGAATAGACAGTACATAAACAAGATTTTAATTATTTTGTTCTTCTTTGATGCTACCGAATGTTGTCCACTGTCCAGTCCATATTACGAGACATATCGTGCGAGTTTTTCCAGTTCTTGATGAAACTCTTTTTGGGCTTCGTTATGAATGATAACAGGAAGGTTATGAGGGAATTTGCTGGAAAATTGGAGAAACTGGCTGAGGAGCTTCTGGATTTACTATGTGAAAATCTTGGACTAGAGAAAGGTTATCTCAAGAAGGCACTCAGTGGTGCTAAAGGACCTAACTTTGGCACTAAAGTCAGCAACTACCCCCCGTGTCCTCAGCCAGAACTGATAAAGGGCCTCCGGCCACACACAGATGCTGGTGGCATAATCCTGCTCTTCCAGGATGACAAGGTCAGTGGCCTTCAGCTCCTCAAAGACGGGGAATGGGTTGACGTCCCACCTATGCGTCACTCCATTGTCATAAACATTGGTGACCAACTTGAGGTACATATCTTTATGTCGATTTCAATTCTTCCCAATACTACAAGGAAAATATCGAATTGGATCCTGACCCTATAAATCATAATTTATCAAACTATGATTTCTAACTCGAATATCTATCATATGAAAGGTGATCACAAATGGAAAATACAAGAGTGTGATGCACCGAGTGATCGCACAAACTAATGGGAACAGAATGTCAATTGCTTCATTCTACAATCCTGGAAGTGACGCTGTAATCTATCCAGCACCAACCTTGGTAGAGAAAGAGGAGAATAAGGAAATGTACCCGAAATTTGTGTTTGAAGACTATATGAAGCTTTATGCTGGCCTCAAATTTCAGGCCAAGGAACCCAGATTTGAAGCCATGAAGAAGATGGAAAGCACAGTTAACTTGGGTCCTATTGCAACTATCTGAATAATATTTCCCTTAATACGTATAATCTAATCCAGTACTATACACCCTACGTTTACTTCATTTCTACTTGAGTTCACGTGGGAATGCATATGTAAGCTAGTGAGTCTGTAGTGCTAGGATAATTTTAGTGGGGTGTGTGCATGGCTTGTGTTATTTTACTGTTTTTCTACCATGAATGGAAATGATTATCTTGTTTGAAGAAATCTGTTGAGTGGAAATAATTTCTTTGCATTGGGACAATCAGTGGGCCATTTTATATGGCAAAAGAGAATCTGGGTAGTGTAAGAATACTTTAAGCCAGAAAGTTGATTACAAGGTTGATTAGCCATAATCATATGGTTTACCTAAATGGGAACATAAACAGCTGCATGCATGCCACCATTTTATCATTCTGTATAACAAATGATGTTCTGAGCCCACAAAAAATATCTTAGTCAATTAAGCAACAATTCTGCTCCGTCGTTTGGTACTAGTGGTAAGGCTGTAATTGCTCGTGTTGTGCTCGTGCAAGACATACGAATCAAGCGAGAATATAAAGCATCAAAGCATAATTGATAATTCGGTGAGTAACGCTTTCATTGCATTCAAATCAAGAAAGCAGTAAGTAGCATCCTCATCCTTATGCAGTGAGCTTAAGAAACCTAAAACATCAAATCATAATTCAGAAAATCATTCATGCAAGGACACGAGGAAATCTCCGTGAAAACAATGTAACATTTGAGTATCTAAATCCATCAATCTTAGATAGGTGAATCTTACAAGGTTTTTCAAGAGAGTTGCAGAATCAACGGGGCATCTTTCTAGTTATCAGATATGTGAAAAGTATAGTCTAATTTTCATCTGAGATGAGATCCAAACACAAGGGCCATAGGCAAGAAAATGAAGTCCTATCATTGTTGTCTAGGCACAAATATCGATAAATAAAGAATGCAGAAATTTCCTTTTTCTCTTGTAAAAATCAAAAGGAAGACCTTAAGTTCATAGAACTGATGAATCAAATTATAACGAGTTAAAGCCATATAAAATTTGGGTAAAAGTTCAATGCAAAAATTTGAATCAGCTTGAAAGTCGAGACGATACAGGGACATGCCCAGACACTGAAAAGCTTCGGAGCTGAACACTCCAAAATACGGGCGTTCAACTCTAGTATTCTGCATATAGAAGGCATTTCTCTCCAATTGAAACACAAGAAATTCAATTTAAGGTATCGCCCAAAATAATATTACTTCCCGGAATCTTGACAGACTCCATTTTCACCATCTCCTTTATCAGCCACTTCCCTATTCAGTTCCGCAATCATTTTTCCATTTCCTTCAGCAGACTCCTCATTGGAACAATGATTTTTCAGAACTGTCAAGACGTCAGCTTCGGAGGCCCCAGCAAGTTTAAATCGCTCGACTGCAGTCTCCAGGTTTCTCTTCCAACCGGGCAAGCCCAATTTACATTCAACCTGAGATCGCTCAAAAAGCATGTTCCCCCAAAATAGGTGGATTTGAGATCTCATAACAGCAGCTTGCTCTGCCGCTTCCTCGGCCGAAATTTCCCCTTGACCGCTTATTGCTGAGGAATCACCTTCAACATCACTACCCTGCTTCTTCCTTCTCTTTAACAGTTCATCCTTCTTACTCATATTAGGATCCTTCAGTTCTTTTGCTCTCTGCTCTTCCAGCTTTTCCCACATTTCAGTAGCTGCTTTCATTTTAATCTCTGCACTGTCAAAAAGTTCAATAGTCTCGGCCGGATCCCATTTCGACAGATCTTCTTTCTTGGCCAATACAAAGGACCAATGAAGTTTTGCCATTTCAAACTGTTGCTGCCCCAGTGCTAACAAACCTTCATAAAAATCTGGTTTGATCAAGAGTGCCTCTTCATATTTCTCTCTGGCAAGAGAATATTTTTCTCGTACCCAGTCATGTGCAGTTTGAAGCTGCGTAGCCATCAATTCCTTTGAAGCTGATTCATCAATGGGGATCCGTTTCCTTGCTGCACACATATGAACATTTCCCCAATTGAAAAAAGCCAGAGCAGCCACCTCCTGGAACTTCAGAGAAGCCTTGTCGAAAAGGCTTTGGGCAGCTTCACCCGTAACTGTTTCCTCGAGGGCTTCAGAACATAGTTCCATACCAAGCTCATGCAGATCTACATGAGCATCAGGATCAATGCCGACATGGCTACGAAATAGTTGAGCAAACTCAAATAGCCAATCGTCCATCTCCACCTCCTTGCACTCAGGGTCCTCTGATTTTTCAGTTTTCTCCTTCAGATTTATCTTTTCAGTCTTATCAATCTCAGCATCCACAGCTTCCAAAGCATAGTCACCTGTTGAAGATTGTGAAACACTCTCATCTCCTTTAGTTCCATCACTCTCCAGAGGCTTCTCTTCTTCCTCTTCCAACACAGGAGGCTCTTGCTCCGGGCTCACCTCAACAATATGCAATCTCAACATCCCAATTGAGTCTCCTTGATCTGTATCAGGGTCTTTTGGAATAAGCTTGTCAACGCAAGACTCAGCAATTCTAAGTTCACCCGTACATGTTATCGTCACTAAGTCACCATCATCATCCTTATATTTGATCAGTACCGATTTCGACATTGGGAAACGTTTGCTAACTACATCCCTCAACACTCGAAAACTACAATTCACTGGCAATTGAGCGAGCCTTATGTCATGATCATAAACAAGCTTCAGTGGCCTCCATCGCGTCACAGCGCCAGCAGATTGCCCATGAATGTGAACTGATGATGATGAAGTTGAACGTTCCTTTTGGTTGTCCTTACTAGCATTTGTATTGGGTTTTGAAGAACCATTTAAAGGCTTCAAGACAACTTTCGGATATTGGTTCTTTGTCTCAGAACCATTCTCAGTAGGTAGTATTGGATAAAGCTTTTCTGATTTACTATTAGTAGCTGGTACAGCAGATCCCACTGCAGCAGATGCCTGCTTCTTAGGCACAGGCCTGGCCGGCAAACATGGACCAAGGCCAGCGATTGGTGCCCCCACAGCAGATGCCCCAAGAGCTGCTGGTGAAGGGCGACTCTGGAGGTCCTGCTGGGCCTCTCGAAAATGGCCAAGTGCCATCTTCAATCGCCCTGAAATCTCTAGGGCGTCTTTATTATTTGGATCAGTGGCAAGTAGTGCTTGCACATCCTGTGTAGCCATTTCATACTTCCCTATAGCCTCGAATGCACGAGCCCTTCTTAGAAGGGCCCGGACAAACCCAGATTGTACTTGAAGTGCCATGGTACACTCCAGTATTACAGTATCATAATCTATGGGCTTCATTTGCATCAAACAAGCCGCCCGGTTACTGTGGAACACAGCTCGGTCTGGGTGCTTTTTTGGAGTAAGTTTAAGAGCATTCTCATATTGCAGAAGAGCCCCCAAATAATCCTTAGCCTGAAACCTTTTGTTTCCCTCTTCTTTAAGTTCATGTGCTCTTTTCAAGAAAATTGAGGAGTCCAAATCAACACCTCCATTAACGATAGGGATGGAATTATTATCTCCCCCAGACACCATTTGGTTCTGGTTAGCACCGCTCTTCTTTTTCTTACCCCCAGATTTCCCCATATGATTCTCAGACCCTCCCAAGATTCAAGCTTTATTCTAACAAAATACAAATTTAACAACACTGAACTCGATTTGGACAAACATTTCAGTATAGATCTTTCCTAAAATTCAGGAAACAGAACAAAGGAACAAAAAGCTACTTACACGTACGAACTTCAATACCTTTTACGAATAATTTGACATTTCTTGATTGAATTGTGAAGACCCAGAATTCAGATTGACGAAAACACTGATTGGGTTTTAAAAAGATGCTTTTAAGAGAAGAATTTATCAGGAGAGGGAGAAGGGAAAGTGCAGTGAAAATGGGTTTTTGGAAGGTGAGTTGAGCTTGAAACCCTAGATTGTAAATCCATATTTTTTATTTAAATTTATATAAAATGAAATGAATATCTGCTGTGTGCCCCACTCTATTTGGTCGTGTAAACCGTTAAATTTGTGGGCCGTTACAGCATTCATTAGCCCATTTCGAAGTAGGGCTGGGGCTCCGTCAGTCATGCTGTTTTATAAGCCATACAAAGAAGCTCACACTTTTTGAGCTTATAAGAATTTTTACAAGTTCCATCCAAAAATTCTCAATATCTAGGCTTTGTATCCTTTTTAACCTGAGACATGCAAAATTATTTGAACTAAAAAAAATCTTTTTGCTAATACTAGTCAGAAGCACGTGCANCACTTTTTGAGCTTATAAGAATTTTTACAAGTTCCATCCAAAAATTCTCAATATCTAGGCTTTGTATCCTTTTTAACCTGAGACATGCAAAATTATTTGAACTAAAAAAAATCTTTTTCCTAATACAAGCATGATCCGACGGCATCCAAAAATGGAAATGGAAACGGAAATGGAAATGTCCATCAGAGTTCGGGCTTTGCCCATCATTTGAGTATGAAAAACTCACACATTTTGATACCTCCGAAGGCATCCAAAAAATGGAAATGGAAATAGAAAGTCCGAAACAGGATAGATAATCCAGGAAAGACAACTATGCCGGAATTTCTTAACTTTAATACGTATATATCTTGACTAGTATTTTGGTAAATGATATTACTACCACTATGACAATTTTCATAGAATTTGTCTAGTAGCTCAAAGTTAGAACTATATGCTCGCAAATTTTATCTGATGAATGCACGTATATGATAAATGTTTGCCAACGGTATGATCGTAATGGTACCATGGTCTCATGTAGCCTACGTGCATTGAAGTAACATTTTAAGGTGTCCAAATGGTCAGGTCGTGCTGGGCCAGTTGCCTTTAGTGAGGCCTGGAGCTGCCCAGTAGAAAAATGAAGAGTCTTGGACAGAGTTTGTCTAGAAAAAAAAAGTTAAAAAGCTTGAATGTGCCGAGTTTACTTGGCCCGTAGGGGAAAGCCCAAACTGATCAGGGCTGTCCCTAGTGGGCCCAAAACCTTATCCTACCACTTTATTTTTATAAAATGGGAAAATTCTTAAGTAAGAGTTTAACTATCATTCATTTCAAAACTAAAATAAAAGGTATAAAATTTCAAAAATCAGATATTTATTAAAATCTTATGAAATCATTTATTAAAAATATATTTTTATTAATTAAATATATTAAGGTCAGAATTCCATTAATTTGATCACAAATTCTCGAATTAATTGATTTTTTTTTTATCACAATTCAAAAAAATTATAGGTCGCAAATTATTTTCTATCATAAATCAAAAATTTTATAAGTCACAATTTATTTATCGATCACAAATCAAAAAAAATTATAGGACACAATGTATTCGTCGGTCATAAAATCAAAGTATTTATAAGTTACAATTCATTTATCGATTACATATAAATTTTATAAATCACAATTTATTTAAGGATCACAAATTGTCAAATTAATTGATCACAAATTATTTATCGATCAAAGTCTACCTGCCTTCGCCAACATGACCACCACCAGCACCGTGATGCCACCACCACATCCATACCAAGAATCACAACCACCATCTCATTTATCTCAATCTCCATCTCTACCACACCATACCACCACCACCACTAAAAATCCCCAAACCTGACTTCACCGCCACTGTCGTCCCCGTTACTGCCTATTTCAACAATCACCACCACGATCACCTCAAATCCACCATCTCATTTACCTCCACCACAATTATCTACACCAACTCAAATGTGCAAACTAAAATAGAGAAACGGATCCAACACCTCGATGAATCATCACTGGATGAAAAGAAAAGTAGATCCATGTGAAAACGGAAACAGGTTTCTGCACATGATCGTCGCGCAGGTTCTGCACACGATAGTCGCGATCAATCCATTGGCAATTCAGCATACGATGGAAACAAATGAAAATAGAAGCCTCGAATCACTGGTATAGAATGGTAGTTCTGCACATGATCGTAACGACACCACGCGATGATCGTGTGTAGCGGTGTTGTTGTCACTACGAGGCTCCATTGTGCCAATTGCGTGCAGCGTCGTATGCCTAAATTGGTAGCGATCGCCACAGGGCCGACCCTGAGGCGAGGAGAATGAGGCCGCCGCCTCAGGCCCAAGCGTGGAAGGGGATTAAATTTTTTTTTTTTAATATGAGACAAGGCCCAAATCTAACCTAAGGTCCTAAACTACTACA